ATCTAAATAGCAGGGCAGAGAAAAGGTGGGTGGGGAAAGAGGGTGCCTGAGTGGGATTTCAGGGCAAAGAGCTGCTTCTAAGAACAGTGAGTTCTCTTCTACCATAAAACACGTCCACGTAGGCCCACCCAAGGCCTCAGCCCCACAGAATTCAGTCAGCTGCATGGGGTGTCCTCGTAGCTGACTTAAGACCCCCTATCCCAAGTATCTCCTGGGGGACAAAGGAAGGGCAGATTTGGAACTGGAGTAAGAAAGCTGCTTGGCCCTGGAGATGCTTTGTGATGTCCACCCAGGTCCTCCTGCTCTGGCCACTGTCCAGTGATGCACTGGAAATCCACATTGGTCGTCAGGAGTCAGAAGCAACAAGATTCCCCAGAGTCTTCCCCACCCCACAGCCTGATTCCACTGGCTGGGCGCAGGCGAGGCAGGATAGCCCCAGCCCAGGGCCACAAACCAGCCCTGTGACAGCAGAGCAGGCGCTGTGGATGGACGAACGGACTGACGGACTGACGGACGTGCAGGGACGAGGGAGGAAGACAGACCCCACCAAGGCAGGAGGAAGAGGAACAGGCACCGAGGGTCCTTCAAGTCACATGCAGGCAAGCGGGTTGCTGAAGAGGCGAGCAGAGGCAGCTCTCAGCAAACAGAGTTAGACCAGCTGCTCTTCAGGGGTTAATAAGCATAAATGCAAATAACCTGGTAGCCCTGCCCACCACCCAAGACCTGCCCCCCAGACATCTGCTCAAGGTTTGGCTTACTTGGTGTCAAGTTCTATGAGATTGGTATCTACCGGCGCCTCGTTCTCTGTAACTGAACACAGGGCAAGTGAGCGCCTACGGGTTAGTGGTGAGGAGGCTTGGGAGCAAGTGGGCACAGGTCCCCACCCCAGGACAACTAAGCTAAGATGGGGAGGGAAAAGGAAGAAGGGGAGTGGAGAAACGATGGGTTGGTCCCTTGTCTCAGAAATACTCCAAATCATTTTAAATGCAGGAAGGAGGGTCCAGGGAGTGCTGAGGAGGCCCACAGCATCCCCAGGGTAACAGAAAAATCTCTGGACCCTGCTCCTTTTGGCATTTCTCCAACAAGACTTAGATTCATTTGTTGCATGCATGATGGCCACTAACTCTAACACAGCCATTTAATCACATTGTCACATCTCCGAACTTGGGGTATGTTTTATGATCAATGGCATTTCATAGTTTAATTGGAACATTTTTCTTCCTTTGTGCTACATACTATAATGTCTCTTTTGACTGAAACAGTCTAAGGTTTAATAAAAGATGACCAGTCTGGTATCACCTGGAAAAATTATGGGGATGGTGTGTCCAGGGACCATCTTATCCATGCAGCCCCTCTGCTACACCTGGATGCAAGACAGGGCTCCAAGCATGGTCAGTACCCCTCCCAATACCACCCCTAGTCCATGGAAAACAGAGCCAGACCTCTCTGTCTCCTAGGGAATCAGATGCAAAGAGGAGTGTGGGCCTCAAAAAGCATCCTGTGAGCTGGGGAAGAGGGCTGACCCTGGGCTGAAGGCCAACCCAGAGGGAGGTGGGGTGATGGCAGCTGGTGGAGAAGGGGGTCAGCTGTCTGGAAACCCCATCCCAGTGACCCACAGACCTTACTCACCTTCTCGATGTGGGGGTTCCTCTTTGGGCTTGGGGTGCATTAGGGTGAAGGGCAGTTCCACGGCCACATCACTGAAACAGAGACCCAGTCCCAGTGAGCCTCAAACCCAATCCCAGGCTGTGAGACTCAATGTCTTCTCAGTTTGAAGACTAGGAAGGATTTCACGGTTAGAGGAGGTAGCTCTGGGGCAAGGGGTAGGAAGAAATCTGGCCTCAAGCCCCAGTTCCATCACTCTCTGAGCATCAGTCTCTCTAGGAGTTGAACTGGGAGAACTTTTCTCCTGGATCCAAAAAGACATGGAAGCTTCCCTTTTCCTGAGAAGGATCCCTAGATTCCCACAAGCCTGGAGAGGTCATAGAAGCGGGAAAAGGATCGCCCAGGGCAGTGTGCATCTTGGTCACTGGGTGGCTCAAGAGGTGCCCTGGGACTCTGCTGGCCTCAAATGGCCACAGCCAACCCAGCTTTCCCTGACACTGCTCTTCCCAACGTCCAGGCTGGAACTCCTCCCACCCTCATTCTGTCCTATCTCCCAACATCTCCAGCAGGCTCCTGCAAAAGTGCTTGGGTGGCCCTAGCCCCCTGCAATCTGGATGATGCACTGCTGAGGTCAGTTTAATCAAATTCAAGCTGGATGGAACCCAGGTCTCAGCACTGTCTACATTGTGTACAGAGCCTTGAAGCCGCGTGGGGGTGGGAGGATGGGAGAGATGCTGCTACTGGTTAGTGCTTCTGAGCAAGCCTTCTCTCCTCTTATCCCTGATTGACAGAATAACAAGAGCAGACACTTAACATGGTGCTGATGCTCTGCCAAGGAGTATTCTAAAGTAACTCACTTAATCTTCACAACAACCCTATTATTATACCCAAAGTACAGATTGGGGAATTGAGACCAAGGAGAAAACGATCTTGTCCAAGGCCACATAGTTATTAAAGGGAAGTAACAGATTGAGGATTCTGACTCCATAATTCACACTCTTGACCACTGTGTGGTAACAGCAAAGAATTGAGAAGGTGATTCCACTCATCCTTGGCTCTTCGCTCTGCTCAGGGTGATGTCACCCTACAAGGCCCTGCCAACTGTTGAGTGCCTGCAGGCACCACCTCATCTTACTGACCTTGCTGCCCAGAGACCAGCTGAAGGAGGACGGGACATGGGAAACAGGCAGTGCAACCAGAAAGGGCAGTTCCACCAGCCCCACCACTCACTGAAGGGCACTTTCCATCTTCAAGTCTCACTGAGCTCATCCAGAAAGCAGGGATAACTATGCCTACTCTCTAGAACCACTTCCAGGAGATGACGTAGGTAGCAGGCTTGGTGAAACTGACACTTGTGCCTGCCAGAATCATTACCTCCCCTCAATAGGAATGTGGGCGTTTCATAAGGGTATTGAAACAATTTGGCTGTGGGTTTTTGTTTTCGTTTTTGTTTTTTGGCTTCCAAAAGGGGATTGCTTCTCCAGATTCACTTGTAAGAATGAGCTATCAGAATGGAAGCTGTGGAAGATTGAGATTGCCAATCTTTACTAAAGCCATCCAGGATACAGATGGAACAATCTGGACCTAAACCTTCCACCAGGTTATGAGCAATCAAGGGCAGGGGTGTGTGTCTGATTCCTCTCTGAGACCTTGGTCCCAGCACAAGGCTGAGCTCAAGTCTGGGTTCAGGAACTCTTTACTGAATTATATTGAATCAAACTGAATTGAATTAATTTCATCTCTCCAAATGGACTAAGATTTCTTGGGATGAGTAATGTTGGCTGGCATCTTGTGACAGGAAGCAAAACCAATGAGTTTGGGGCACATAGATTTTTGGAATATATATGGATCCAGCTGGCTCCAAGGAAGTCTCATCTACAAAAGCGAATCTCTTCAGGACTTCTTAGCAACACTCAGCCAGCAGTTAGTTCTCATTAGTGTAGAAGTTTGAAAGCCACAAAGCCCGCATTTCTCCAAAACATCCTGTAAAACAGACTGATTTGGAGGGGGGGGGCACTCCCAGATCAGTGAAGCCAGCTCTGCTGTCTGCAAAGGTCCTTGTCACTTGGATGGGATGGAAGAACAGGGTGAGGTTTTAAAGGACAAATTGCATCTCCCCAGTTCCTTTGGAGAGGGTTCTTAGACTCCATACATGCCTGAGCCTGGCAATCAAAAGTGACTGCTTAGAGTGCTTCCAACCTGGTGCCCGCGGTTCTGGATAGTCAGGCCAATGGTCTGGGCCCTTCAGAAAGTGGGTTGTTCGGGTTGAAGGGAGGGACTTTACCTGGATGCAAGATCTCCCAACAGGCTGGGTGGGTCAGAGGAGGCGGGAGAAGTGGTCAGGAGAGAGTTCAGAGAGGAAGAAAACAGAAAGTACGTTCATTCACCACCTCTGTTCCCCTCTGGGGTAGAGAAGACCCTGGGACACACTCCACCCACCCCTGTACAGTTGTAACTACCCATTCAGGGATATACAGAAATGACCTGAGCCCTGACTAGGGAACTGAGACCCAAGTGCAGCTCAGTCAAACCCCCTGCGAGGCCACACTGGGCCCCAGGATGGTCATCTGTAAAGAAGACATAAAAGCTAAGCCCTGTGCCACTGCCCTGGGGAAGCTGGGACTATACAATGGCAGAAGGAAGCACTTTAGGATTTTCAAGAAGGAGCCTGAGGCAGACTGTGGGTCCTACAAGAGTCATAGGACACAGGATTTGGGATATGCGATTCTGAGATGTCATATGATACATGGTGAGTATGACACACTGCCACCTGCACGAGGCATTATTCTAATAATAAAGGGGATTTGATACCTAATGTTATTAGCTTCCCAATCTTGTCATAGAAATTGACAAACTAAAAAAAAAATCCCTCTGACAAGTTAGAAATCCTAATTCTAAGTTTATAACAACACATAGGCCAATATATGGGGAAAAGTGGGAGTTCTTTCTGAGCTTCCACCAGACTATGCTCCAGGTCAGGGAATATGTTTGGTCCACAGCCATATCCCCAGCACCCAGCCCATGACTTGCAATTAGGGGAGGAGATTTCAGGAAATGTTGGGGGAATTGTTTGAGCCTCTGTTTCCCCATTTGTAAAATGGGAGAGTCAGAGCATCCCTGATCCAACTTTGGGATTCGGAGCTCCTTGAGCCATTTCCCCAGCAGATCAGCCTGGGCATGAGTTGGGGTGGGTTCTGTGCACTGAGATGTGATGGGGAGCACAGAACCCCTTGGAGACCCCAAAGCACAGACTCTGGGGAAGCTTCCCACCACCTCCCACGTGCCCAGACTGGGGATAGGGAAAAAGAGGAGGAGAAAGAGGAGGAAGAGAAGGAGAGGGGTGGGGAGAAAGAGGGAGGGGCAAGAGAGGGGCTGAAGGCCTCCAAAACAGGAGAGGGAAAGGGGTGGAGGAGGAGGAAGAGGAGCATTGCAGGAGGAAGAGGAGGAACAGGATGCCACTAAGAGGTCCAGCAACAGGCAAAATAGGGCAGGGACACTCCTTGCTGCACCTAGAGGTCTGGGGCTGGGCTGGAGCACTCACCCGCCCCGAGACACCACCAGCTTCACCTTCACTTTGTAGGAAACAATGATGCCCAGGATCTCCCGGTTGGCTCCTTCCCTCAACCTGCAAGGTGACATAGGGAAGCCAGGTCATGGGGCTGGCTGGGCAGGCAAGACACTGCAGGAGTAGGGTGCAGAGGGGCCATCGGCTATCAGTCCCTCTCCTGGCCACTCAGCCACCGCTGCAGGTGGAGCCCAGTGCGTGAGGAAGGCGAGGTCTGCCCTGTGGGAACAGGAGCTCAGGGCCCTGGGTTCCAAGTCTGGCTATGTGACCCTGGGAACTCCCACTTCCCTCCTAAGGCCTGAGTCCCAGCAGTGCGGTGAGGGGCGGCTCTTCCTGCTTTCAGGTAGATTCCCCTTCTCTTGCTGCTAAACCAGACTGGCAGTTCTGAGAGGTGAGGGCAGTTGGCAGGGGCGGGGGTAACAGACCTGAAGAAGGTGGTGTTTCAACTAGGTCTTGAAGGCAGGTAGGACTTGCCAGCAACTGCTTGGAGGGGAGTGGGTAGCATATGCAGGGGCTGATAAGAGAGCATTTGGGCTGGAGTGGTGGGCAGGGGTGCTGCAGAGGCAGGTCAAACTCCCAGGAAGGGCAGAGCGGGTCCCTACACCCCCAGGTCTCCACTAGAGCAGGGTGGCCTCAGAGAGCCTGTGATGACCTTGGAGCAGGAGTGACCATATGGCCCTGGGATCCCTGCCTTCCAGGGGCACCCCATGTGGTTTAGCCCAGCTCACTGCCCTCATCTCTCCAGACTCCCCAAGCCCATCCTGATTCATCCTCTCCTGCTAGGACCCTTCCAGAAGCCACTCCCTTCCTTCTTGCCTTGCTCTGCCTCAAGGACACACCCCATCCAACTGAAGACACTAGGTCAGGAGCTGCTGCCTCTTACAGGAAGCCTCTCAGGTTGCCCTCCCCTAGGCAAACCAGCAGAGCCCAGCACTGACCAAGAGAGCCTGGGCTGATGGTCCACCCTGTTCTCTGGGGCAGCCCTGGATAACAGTGGGAGTCAGGGGACAGCTTCTCTAACAGTTCAATCTCCTGAGGATGGGTCGTGGACAAGGCTTGGGGAGGGTGTAGCTGGAGCCCGTGCTGGCACTTGTGGGACCAAAGTGGCTATGGACCTGTCTGGGGGAGGGGGGACACCCAGGAGCCTGGGACTAGGGAGGGTGGGTCCTCACAGGGTGCTGGAGGCCAGGTTTGTGTCCTCATGCTTGAGCTTCCCGTCCAGGGCGAGGCCTCGCTTCTCTCGGTTGTTGGCCAGGAAGGGGGTCAGCGTGTAGACCTTGCAGAATGTGGAGCTGGGCGCCACTGTGTCACTGGGAAGAAAGGAGGCAAGTATGGAGACGCCTCCCCAGAGCCAATCCCAGCCTCACCCCCAGCCCAGCCAGGACACGGAGCGCGGCCCTGCTCCAAGCCTCCCTCCCCCGTGGCAGGGCCACTTGGGCCGGGCCCAGCTCTGGTAGGGAGACCACTGCCACCAAAAGGGGCACATCTCTCCTCCACACACAAACAGCAGCGACTCTGGGATGATCCAAAAGCTTCATTCATGGCTCACATGCAGCCGCAAGTTTTTAAAAATTCAGTGTACTGCTTGGCACTTGCTGTGTGACTAGGATAACTTTTTAGTGGAGAGAGCATGGATTTTATTTTTTTCTATCACATCATGAAAAAATTTCAAACCTACAGGAAAACTGAAAGAGTTGTGCAGTGAACACCCATATACCCAACCTCTGGGTTCCACAATGAAGACTTTGCGTGTTTTACCTCATCTCTAACCACCGTGTGTAAGGTGTTTGGATTGCTGAGCTTTTACCTGCTTTTGCTCTATCCCTCACCCCTTTTCAACAATGAGAGAGCTGGGATGCAGCAGGCCTTGGAATTGGAAGAGCCCAGCTCTGCCACTGACCAGCTCTGCAAGGCTGAGCAAGTCACATCTCTCTGGCCCCATTTCCTTCTCTACATACTGGGGCGGCAGCAACCCCGACTCGGAGCGCTTTGTGAGGACTACGCAAGACTCAGAGTGGGAACGCCTCCCCAGCCATCCAGGCTGGTAGGTTAGGTGCCGGGGCCATGCAGATTGGGCATTTTCCACTCTTTACGGATTACATGTTATTTTGGCCTAAAGTCACTTCACTTTACCCCCACCTCTTGCCAGAACACTGTGCCTCGTGGCTTTGACTTTTTAAAAATCAAGAGTGGATATAGTACCTAACAGCAGGGAAATGTTTGACCCAATCATCACATGTTCACCTATATGACATTAAAAACAATCTCAAAGACCAAATAGTAACATTCAAAAAATATTTTTAGGTTGCACAAATACCAATTGCTATTGCATGTAAATAAACACACACATGAAAATTTACATGAAATGCAGTTGCCCCCCAAAATTATTTGCAGGGCCAGGAGAAAAAACAAACGCGTCTTCTAATGGGCCCATCTACTTCCTTTACTTAAGAAAAGATATTTCACTTAGGATCTCTCCTCTTGCCTTAGCTAACAAGCTTGGGACAAAGTTCCCTGGGCTCAACCACAATAGCCCTCCTTAAA